TTTTTTGTATTTAGCATAGGGTCTACAGCACTATACAGATCAGACTCAGTGATCGTCCTGTTTTTAGCCTCCCAAGCATTGGGATTACAGGTGCACCACCACACCCAGTATTAATAGCAGTCTCAGTGTGCCCCCGGGGGCAGGGCCAACAGGGCACACAGAGGTGGGGGGACTGAATCCCAGCCCCTGTGCCTGCCTAAGCTGGCACTCTAGTCCACTGAGCTATCTGGCCAGCTCTAGAACCTGCTTTCTTGATGTGCTGAACCTTAGTAGTCTAACATCATAGGGAAGTTGGAAAAAAAAATTTTTGATGGTTAATCCAGTACCCTTGTTTTACAAAGAAATACTTAGGGGGGGCCGGGAGATGGCTCAGTAGAATAAGCACTTGCCTGGCAAGCGCAAAGGCCTAAGTTCAATCCCTGGTTCTGCAAAAAAAAAAGAAAAAAGAAATACTTAGGGTGTATAAAGTAAATAACATATTTGAAATAGTTTCAGATACGGAAAAATTCGTTGGTGTCACAGTGGCACCAATGAGTGACTACGTGTTTGCCGTGTGCCAGTCGCCCACAATTTACTAATCCCCTCTATATCCTCACACTGCTTTCTGTCCACCAAGATAAGATTTCATATTTCAATTTAATAAAGATTCCATGAATAGCTTGTGAATATCTTAGATCTGTTCTGTCAGATGTACTTCCATTTCATAAATTCATATATGTTTTCTAGATACCACTGTGTCATTTGAACTGCACAAAATAGCATTTGCAAACAGTTTTACTCAAGATTAGGTTGACAAAGCTGAATCAATATTCTGTACTCAGCTGAATGCATCATTAATAAGAACTCCTTCAGAGACTTATTGGTATCTTTCAGGAAAAATATACCCTGAAGACTAATACTTAAGAAGCTGAGATAATCATGTGATTAATATTTTTATTGGCAAGAGAAAGTAATTTATATGTATTTGTTCTCCTACTGGGATTCTACATAAGTTCCATAAAAATATTAAGTAACTAATCAATGGGTACATTTCAGCTTTGAGAAGTCTGTCAGCTTCCCAAGTTTTAAATATATCTCAATAGATATTTAATATTATTCATGTTCTTCTTCTGTTCATCCAGTGGAGCTACAAAGTATTAGTATCTTTTCACAGCTTTTCCCAATGCTGTAAAAGAATTCTATTTTACAGAAATATTTGTTTGATCATTAAAATCATGTGACTGGAAAATATGCACATTTATATGTTTATTTCTATAGATAACACACTCAACTATATGATCATCTGATACACTTTTTAAAAATATAAGTTGGTTGGTGTTGCTTACCTTGGCCTTGGCCATGTGTCTCATTAACATAGATAGTAATTCCCCTTATTTGTGGTTTCACTTCCGTGGTTTCAGTTGCTTGCAGGCAACCGTAGTGTGAAAATAATAAATCATAAGTTCCACAACTAAATAATTCACACGTTTTTAAATTGCATGGTGTTTTGTTAGCATGATTAAAATCTCCCTCCGGTCCTCCCGGGATGGGATTCACCCCTCCATCCGTCTTGTGCACTACCTGTCCACACTCACCGGGCAGGCGTCTGTCTCCAGAATGACTTGAGGCTTCACAGCACCTGTGTTCAGGCCACCCTTCAGTTACTTCATAATGTCTCCAAAATTCAGGAGTGGGGATGCTGCCCATTTCATTACAGGATAGTTTTTCTTTTCTTTTCTTTTTTATCCGTAACGTTGTTAACCTCTCACTGCACCTAGCGTATGTCTGAAATGTTGTCATGGATATGTCAGTGTGACAGTTAATCTTTATCGTCATTTTGATCAGTGTAAGAGATGCCTAGCAGGTGAATAAAGTACGTGTGTGTGTGTGCCTGGGAGCCACAGGGATGGGACTTTGACCACTGCCTGGTCCCGGCCCCTTCCTCTCTGGCTCTTCGCCTGCTCCCTTCTTCCTGGCTGCCTGAGGTGGGCAGATGGCTCTACTGTGCCCTTCTCCCATCGTGTTTCTGTGTTGGAGGCATCAGACTGTGGACTGAACCTCTGAAACTATGAGAAAAATAAATATTTGCTCCTCTGAGTGGGTTTTCTAAAGTAGTTGATCACAGCAAGGAAAAGCTGATTCATGCAGCATGTCTAGGAAAAGGTGGAGTGTACGTAGAGTCTGGTGTCCTCTGTGGTGGTAGGCATCCTTGAAGGTCTTGAAGCTCATACTGCAAGGGTAAGAAGGACTGCTGGAATTACTCAAGCAAGACTCAGAATGAGCAAAATATCTGTAATAACTGTCGATTTTAGGAATGTATTGCTGTTTACTCATTGAGATAGAAATATTAATTTAAAATATGTATACTTAGGGCCAACCAAATAGCTCAGCAAATTAAAACACCTGCTAGAGCAGAGCTTGGTGGCCAGGGTTTGATCCCCAGCATGCCCTGCTGGCCCTGCCACCAGGGTGCACTGAGATGGCAATTAAGACTGGGCATGGTGGCACACACCTGTAATCCCAGCACTTGGGAGGCTGAAAACAGGAGGATCACTACGAGTCCAATCTATGTACGTAGTGAGACTCTGTAGACCCCGTAGACCCCATAGAGCCTGTCCTAATTACAGAATAATAAATAAATGTGTATACTTCATATTTTATAATAATTTAAAATGTACTGAGTTAAATAGAGTCATTTTCACTTTTAACATTTTCAGTAGTTGTCCATTTTGTACTTAGAGAAATGTTGTAATATAAAAGTGTATGAGGCCAGGGCCATGAGCGCCTGCCTGGCAAGCACAAGGTCCTGAGTTCAATTACCTATTACAAAAAAAAAAAAAAAGTATGGGGCTTCTCAACATATGTTTGTTTGAAAAGGAAGTTCTGGTTTGTGTGCTTAGCTATTTTGAACCTTCTGGGTCTCCTTAGAGAATGTGGTCACATATTGTACCTATGGAGATACCATGGCACATGCTTTGGGCCAGTACCCTTCCAATATTACTACCATTAGAGGAGATGTTACAATAAGTCGGACTTGCTTTTTTTCATTTGAAAGAAAATATCTATTGAATTATAAAATTTGAAGAGTTTTCAAAACTTTTAGCTCTTTTGGAAGTTCTAGGTCAATATTTGTTCCACTCTGCTATGCGTGTGAACCAGCTGGGAATCATAGGGTAATAAAGACAGTAGACCAGCAGATTTGAGAATGCATTTTCTAGAAAAGCCAGTGCGGAGGGTCCATGGAGAGCTCCAGTATGCAGTAAGATATAATGTAATACAAAAGGCAGAGCAAAAAGTCAAATGTGTCTCAGGCTTTGCTTGGGGCCTAAATTGGGTAACTAACGCAAGTGTACTGTATTTCTCAAGTTTACAGGATTGCATTATTTTCTGTAGTTACATATGATGGTAATTTTTTATTTATAGTTTTAACATAATTAGATTCTAATTTCATCTGGATTTTCTGATTGTCTGCTCTCCATTTCCATGTATTTTATTTAGCTCCTTTGATAGCATGTTTGTTTACCAACAAAGAGGACTTGGGCCAATTGAAGAAGATACCATTCTTGTTATAGATCCAAATAATGCTGCAGTTCTCCGGTCCAGTGGAAAAAACCTGTGAGTTAGATCACCTTTTATAAGACTTGTTCTACATCTTATCACTCAATCTTGAAAGAGTACATTATACAACTCCCCCACTTTAGGAAAGCAAAAAAACTAATTTGGCCTTCCTAGCTTTCATTTTTTAGATAACTGGTTCTAAATCTTAATTAAATATTAGAATAATTTATGAAGCTTAAAGAAATTCTGTTCTGATAGTCATTGGCCATTTGTCATCTTTTGAGAAACTGCAAGGCAGGTCCTTTGCTCACTTCGTAATTGTTGAGAATAAATTTCAAACATTCTCACCACAGACGTATTTGAGGTTATAAGTATGATCATTAGTTTGATGTCATCAATACCCATTGTAGGGATGTATCATTACATCACATTGTATCCTGTAGATATATATAATGATGATTTTTATTTATAATTTTTAAATATTAGATTCTAGTTTCATCCGGAGTACAGCCAATGTGGCAATTCTAATAGTCAAGCATGAAAGAGCCTTTGATATACATACATAGTGAACTGAGCTGCTAGTCAGATCTAATGATTTCAAAAAATTCTTCAGCAGAGGAGGTTCACACTGAATTCATCAAGTAATACTCATAGGAAAAAGAGCTACTCCGCATCTGAAATGAAGGCTAAACACATAGCATTTTTAGCTTTCCTGAGCATGCATATGTAATTTGGCTCTGAAAACCACTTACTATTTGGTCTTATTTCCTAGATGGCATTTGGCAGCTGAAACAAACGTTGGCTGATTTTCATGGTTAGCGAAAGAAAGGGCCACCTGCTTGCAGAGTCTCCTCAGCCATTGCGACCTGGCCGCTTCAAGAACTGTGCCCTACTCCATCTGCTTAGGCATGGGCAAAGCCAGCTCCTCTGAAAGGCAGGGAGCCACTGCTTTGGAAGCGGCTGCTAGTGGAGCTGGCAGTGATGAGGCTTAGGCTTTTAAAATGCTAGTCTCAGATGATGAGTCAGAAGCCAAATTCTGGTACCAGTTCTGCCACTCTGTGCTGAACCTGTCTGTTTGGAGCTATTTCCAAAAAGAGACATCCACATCCCAGAAAGGAATTAGGAGAGAAAGCTGCAACAAGCCCTGCAAAGGCAGCTTGGCCACAGGGAATGTCTGCGTTGAGAGGGAATCATCAGTCAAGATCAGAGTGTTACAGTCTCACCTTATAAAAGAAAATCTGTAGTGCCAGGACCGTAGGAAGGCAGGAAGCTGACAGATAAGGCTTTTGGATTGGCAGATGCTATTTAACCGGAACCCCTGAACATACTGCCCCTGTGTCACTTAACTCTGTCCAGGTTCCGTCGACCTGCAGCCTCCATCTACGTCAGCTCATAATTCTCCCCTGTAGATCCCCAGAGGGAGTCGCTGCATAGACTATCTTTCTCTAATGACTGGCCGTACTCTGGTTTCTCTTCAGATTGTATAAATCTTTTACTAATGACTGGCCAGCCCTCCACTTCACTTGCCAGGATGGTCACAGCCCTGTGTTTTGTTTTCTTTAGTAGACACTTGGAAAGCTTCTAAGACATACATTTAATATTTTATAACCCGTTGGTATTTCTCTAAACAATTTGTTTTGTATATATTTCTAAAATGTTCATATCTGTGATGTACACCATACTTTATAATAGACATCTATAATTTTCATAAGCTTTATTTATAGATTGTCATGGGACTCAGTATTACACTTTTTCTCCATTATAGAGGCATTTTCATTTTCCAATTTAGTTTGCTTTTTTCTATAATAATACAAATAGTCACTCAATAACTTATAAAATTATATAGCCTTTATGGATTAATTAGAAAGAAATTACTCTTGGGTATGCTTGGAGAAGAGATACGTAATGAAATAATCATTTTTATTTTGCAGATTTTATTTGCCACACGGCTTGAATATAGATAAAGATGGATATTACTGGGTCACAGATGTGGCCCTCCATCAGGTAATCTTCCCATCTGGCAGTGTTCACATAGATCACAGGGTTAAGCTTTCAGAATGCTCTAAGTACGTTGGACTCTTCTTCATGACCTGTTCAGTTTATAACAAGAAATGGAACAGCCCTGTCTTACTTCTGCTTGTAAACAGAAGTGGCTTATAAACAACAGAAAGTTGTTCTCACAGTCCTGTAGTCTAGAAGCCTGAGGTTGGGTAGCAGCTTGGTTGGGTTCTGCCGAGGGCCCTCCTCAGGGTTCCAGACTGCCATGTTTTCACTGCCCCCACACACTGGAGAGTGAAGCATGTTCTGAGTCTCTGCTTGCAAATGCACTAGTCCTGTTCATGCATGCTCTGCCCTTATGTCCTCCTTATCTCCCAGAATTCCCACTTCCCAATACTGTCACATTGTAGGTAAGGATTTCACCATGAATTTGTGAGACACAGATATTCAGTCCATATCAATCCATACTTAAAATTTTTCTTTTTCTACTGGTCTATGAAAATAAACAGTTAATGCTTTAATTTGTTTCATTTCCTTTTTTTTCTCCCCTGTGGAACTGGGCATTGAACTCAGGCCCTTGTGCTTGCCAGACAAGCACTTATTCTACTGAGCCATCTCCCCAGCCCCTCATCTCCTTTTTTCAGTTTTCTTCTTAATTTCTTATACATTTCTTTTTTTCTCTCTTCTTCCAATTGTGCATGTACATATCAAGTAATATGAATAACTGGTTAGAAGACAGCACTATGTTTTACAACAAATACTGTGAAATTCATATTACTTTGTTAAGTGAAAATCTCTATGACTTGTAATTTTTTGTTTTAATTCTAATTTGTGCTCTCTTTAAAAAAGAAAAAACAAGGAAATTTTTAAAAAAGAACTCAGTACTAGAAAAAGTTAATATATGAAGTCATTCTTCTCCCTTGGGTTGACAACAAGCTTAGGGCAAGACCTGAAACATGACTAGAGTATCTCCAAGGGTCCTTCTGAGCTCCTGGAAGGCAAATGTAGGCTTTCTGCATTTGCTTTTATTTCCTCTATCCCTGAGTCTTACTTCTATTGATTACTTGTGCTTTGTGCTTCTTTCCTAAGCTACTGTACTATTCCATAAATTGAACCACGGTCCATAATTTAAATATATAAATATATTTGGATTTACATATGCATATTTAACACAGTTTATGTATATATTTTATGCATGTATACGTGTAAAAGTCAAACACTTTGTCCTTTTTCAGAGACATTATAGTTCAGTCACAAAAGAGTTTTCAAGTCTTTCCCCTGTGTAAAATAAGTTTGTTAATAGATAGTAAGAAGGTGGCCAAGAAGTCAAGCAAAAGCTAGAGTGCAGAAGACTTAGTTATGAGTCATTAAGTTGTTCTTTCAGCAGTCCTTATACAATCATCTCAGTAGGCATTGTTCATGTCTTCTCTGGAGGTCATTTTAGTATTAAGTAAGGCAAAACAGAACATCAGTGTGGAGTTAGGAGGACCAGGGGTCTGTCTGCTGGCCTCTGTGGTCACTGCTTATTAATGAGATCATCTTGAGCAAGCCATTGAATCTCTGTAAGCTCATGTATGAGGTGAACTATTCAGACTGGATGGTTTCTAGGGCACACCCAGTTCTAAAAATTATCTTTGGTTTAGTATGTGGGAGCTGACCCTCCAGTTGCTTGTGCAAGTGGGAGCAGGCGATAATAAGCACAAAGAAGTAAGTAAAGCTTTTTTATCTTTTTTTTTTCTTTTTTTAAGGTGTTCAAACTGGATCCAAACAGTAAAGGACCTCTCTTAATCCTGGGAAGGAGCATGCAGCCAGGAAGCGACCACAGGCACTTCTGCCAGCCCACTGATGTGGCTGTGGACCCAGGCACTGGGACCATCTACGTGTCTGATGGTTACTGCAACAGCCGGATTGTGCAGTTTTCACCAAGTGGAGAGTTCATCACACAGTGGGGAGAAGGTACCCAATAAGACTCTTAAGCATTAATTGCAAATCTTAGCCACTGTCACCAGGAGCCAGCCATTGGCCACTCCTTACAGTCTTTAGGACATAAGTGTCCTCTACAGTGGAAAAAACCAGAACTACTCTATACATCCAGTTGTCTTGGTCACACAAACGTGTGTGCTCACGTGTGCACCTGCACACTTCATAAAGGAAAAAGTTGTCCAAACAGAAAGCCTGCAACATATTTGCAGGTAAAAGATATTACAGAATAAACTTATAGACCACTTCACTTTATCTGTCTCCTGGTTCTGTATGTGTAATGGTTTTCTATCATGATTTTGGGCAATTGCAGAACTAGAGTCAGATCTGAACCCTGACGCTCAACTCTGTGTGTGACACTTTCCTTTGCTCTGCAGGCACATCTGGGAGCCATCCGAAGCCAGGCCAGTTCAGCGTCCCTCACAGTTTGGCCCTTGTGCCCCACCTGGGCCAACTGTGTGTGGCAGACAGGGAAAATGGTCGGATCCAGTGCTTTAAAACTGACACCAAAGAATTTGTCAGAGAGATTAAGCACGCATCATTTGGAAGAAATGTGTTTGCAATTTCATATGTACCAGGTATTTCATTTTTTTGTGGCTCTGTTTTTGTCATTTGCTTTATCTACTGTATATTTTATCACTTTTTCTTAAGTGGTTGAGGATGTCTTTTATATCAGATCTTAGAGTATCTTAAAAATGTTAAAACAAAGTGCCACTATTCCTTGTATAAAAATAGCAAGACTCAACATTGAGTTTTATTTTCCTTAAGTATGGTCATGTGCTCTACTATGAAATAATTAATGTTGTCTTTATACATCATCAGCAGATGACATATGTGTAATATGTGTGTGTGTGTATGTATATGATAAAATGAGCATCCAAAATACTTCTCTTTCAAACAAGTGGTGCCTGTAATCCCAGCACTATAGGAGTCTGAGTCAAGAGGATCATAAGTTTGAGTTCTGCCATGACAACTGAGTAACACTGGAGGAATCTGTCTCAGAGTAAAGCAGGATAGCCAGGGAGATAGCTCAGCATCATTAAGCAGCTGTCCGGCAAGCACAGGGTCCTAAGTTCAATCCCAGGTGCCGAAAAAAAAGTTTGAATATGAGACTAAAGCACAATAGGTTATAACACTGGGTTCAATCTTCAGCAAAACAAATATGTAAAATAAGTGAAGTTTTTGTCTAAGTATCAGGAGAAATAATCAACCAACAAAATCCTGATTTTTTCCCCTCCTTTTCAAATAGTTCTTCTTGACTGTAAGAAATTTCAAAGGAAATTTGGGAAAAAAAAATCAAGCTTATAGAACAAGAGATAGGTAATTCATTACATAACATAACAGCATGACTTCTTTAAAAAAGAAATACTGAGCGACTTAAAATATAAAATTAATATACACTTTAAATACGAACATTACATTTTTATTGAAGGCTTCAACTCTTTTTAGTTATTATGATTGTTACATTTTTATGCTGGTGAGGGTGCATATGGCTGCTGTCTTCCCAAGTAGGCCTGAATTTACTTAAGCCATGAAATAAAAGGCTCAGGTGGCAGGATATGGAGCAGGTTTGGCTTTTTCAAAGAGTAAGAGATTCTCATTGAGGTCAATGACAGAGCAATTACTTGCTTCATTTTGCTTATATTTAAAGAATTAACTCACCAGGATGGTACACTTATTGAAAAGGAAACGTGAGTCCAGACTGTACCAGAACAATTCCAAATTGAAATGCATCAGGAGAGAGAAGATGAGAAAAAAAAAAATCTGGTTCAAACCAGACTCTAAGCAAACCCAGAGCTCTTTGTCATATTCTACAACAGCAATTGATATTTATGGTGTTGATTTTTTAATAGTGTGATATGCTTTTAGAAAGTCTATAATACTTGAAGAAACATGGGGGATGAAAGTGTTTTCAGCACTGGTTTAGGGATGTGTGTGATCTGTCTGCATAGCTGGGGACCAAGCCACGCGCTGTGTGCGTGGCAGGCAAGTGCTCTGTCACCGAGCTACCCCCAAACCCTAACGTCATGTAGTGCTTCATGCTTTACTTCCTTGGAAATGAAGCGTTCAGACATCCAAATTATTTATTTCAACAAAATGCGACTATTTCTATGGTAAGAGGTAGTTTTACTACAGAATATAATCACAGATAAACCTAATTTCTTTCATTGAGACAAAAATGTCTGCAGTGGTCTGAAATACGCATTTTGTATTTTGCAACTACAGTCATTTAAAATCAGATTTTCCTTCTACTTTATACCTTAACATCACTTACGTTTTTGTGTGTATCTTTATGCTATCCAGGCTTGGCAGGTGTTACATATTTTTCAAAAGATCTGTCATATGTATATCTTTTTTTTTTCCTGTAAATTTAGGGAAGGGTTTACAGGATGTACAGGGTCTCACTACTAGGTCGGACTCAGAATGATTCTCCTGTTTACAGCCTCACAAGTGCTGGGATTACAGGCGCATGCCACCACGCCCAGTCTCAATTGCCATCTCAGCGTGCCCTGGGGGTGGGGCCAACAACCACAGCAGGCCTGGGATTGAACCCTGGTCCCTGTGCCTGCTTGCAGGTGCTTTAATCTACTGAGCTATTTGGCCGCCTCTATGTGTATCTTTTGTTATTTTGTGTATGTATCAGTAATTGCATATCTATGATTTCTGCTGGCTTCCTAAGAGGAACAGACCTTCTAATCCCGATTTTCCTATTATAAGGAGTTTAGTCATCCAGCCTATTTACTCCTGGTCTTGTTACTCAGGCAGCAGCATTTCTTAAGTCATTTAATTTCAACTTTCATTGCCAACATATTATTTGGTTTTTTAAAATTAATTTTATTGAGAAACAAATAACAATGAAACAGCTTTAAAGCAGGTTAGTAGGACAGTTACAATAATTAATACATTGCATATTGTTGTCTTTGTAGTGGTTATTCATAGTACAAGATGCAGACATGATATCCTGTCTAAACACTATTTGTACAAATCTTTCTATTCATTGAATTAAGAGAAAGTAGCTGTATATCTAGGACCATTTTGTATCTGTATATATTCGTTTAATTAATGTGCATGCACAGATTTGAAGTATAGGCTTAATCCATGTTTTCAAGAAATACTAACTAGATATGTTTTTACAGGTTTGCTCTTTGCAGTGAATGGGAAACCCTACTTTAAGGACCAAGAGCCCTTACAAGGATTTGTGATGAACTTTTCCAATGGGGAAATTATAGATGTCTTCAAGCCAGTACGCAAGGTATTCATACGCATTGCCCAGGTTTCTGTTTTCATAAGACTAAAACTAAGATAGGAATTAACACTCAATACACATATAATTATTTTATATTGTAGGGGATATACTAACGTTTTTAGTAGCATGATGGGAATCTCCTACCATGATGTTTTCTTTAGAATAAATACTCTTGTTTGTTCCTAATCAATTTATTCACATGAGAATTACCCCTGTGTGCAATCTGAAGGTTCTTATTAGATTTGGCATATGATTGAGAGCTTAAGTAAGTCTGTTACTTGTTCAGACAAGTAGTATAGGCACACGTCAAGTGGTAACCCAACAGAAATCTTGTTTGCTTTTATTATTACTACTTTATACTAAGCAGCAAGGCTTGACAAAGTACTTCCTGATATGTATTCATGTTCTGAAGACTTGGTTTAGGCAGGAGACTGTGGGCTAGTTTTGGCTTCACAAGTGGCTGGCCTCTGTTTATTCTGACAGTGCTGTTCACAAACACCATGACAATGGCTCGGTGTTGCCATAGTTTCTTGGTTTTCCCATCTTACCTTGACTGCGGTGTGATTGCCAGATAACCGGAATGCTCACGCACTGTATGTGCAGTGGCATGTCAGCTTTAGAAAGTTCAGCTGCTGAAATGCTCAGACGAAGGTTATTTTCAAAACTTGTAGCAACTTACTAGTTTTTCTTGGCTCAAAATGCTAGGATCATAAGCCAAAGGACAGAGTACATATTGACACTCATAATTGTTATTCATTAAGATAACAAGTTTGCTAAATCCTAAGAAAGAATTTTTAAATGCCTCATTATTTTTGAAGTAAGTCTGCCAAAATCTGATGGGATGGAATTTATTAAATTCATATCAGAGATACAAATTAAGTATCTGTTACCTATCGGGGACTATGCAACATATGATGCTATACTGTTATGATAGACATAACAGGGAGCCTCTTCTCCAAGGACCTTTTAACAAAGTTAGGACATCTGAATCAAATCAAAGTGAATCTGAACTAAAAATTCCATCACAAATTCTTGGGGTGGGGGTCAGTTTTATTATAAAGATAAGATTCTTCACAAAGTCATGTTATCTGAAAAACAATGAACAGTCAAATGTCATAGCACCCATCTGAAAGAACTGCATTACGTTGATAATAGATAGATTAGATAAATAGATAGATAGTTAACATATATTCATTTCCATAGTGTTGCTGATCTTCATTAATTTTCTAATCTTCTTAGCTCTCCCTCTTATAGAGAACTACTGACATGTGTTATAAAGACAGAATCTTAACTTTCGGATCTTCACTTTATAGTAGTTGTGTTTGACTTGCTTCTTTTTTTCCACAGGAGTGTACTGTGTCAACTAGAATATTAACTTTTAATTAAAGTATGCATCTAGAAGTCAAAACAAAGTGCTAAGCAAAAGCCCAGCTTCTAAATGAGTTTCACTTGTTACGCATCTGAATGGGCCTGAGTTACAATTTCAGAAGGGATTGTGTCTAAACAGCAACATTCCCCAGTGAGTGACAAAGAGTCACAGGATGTGGGTCAGTGCAACAGACTTGAAAACAGTATCTCACTCCAAGATGAAGTCTGTTTTTTTCTGTTTAGTAAACAAGGCATGATATGACACCAGAATGTAGAAATCCGTTCTGCGTTGACTCAGTAAACTAAACATCAGTTATGCACCTCCCAGATATGTCATTTAGTTACATTGTAAGGAGATTAAGGTTGGTGAAGGAAATAGCATGGTATTTTAACTTTCATGTAAGAGGAAATTTGTTTTTCAAGTCACAGGTCAAGTTTCTCATAATGTGTCCAAGCCTCGGTTTGTGCGCACCCACTCATCTCCTCATACACTCCTGGTTGGCCTTATCCACTGTTGCATTCTTTGGAAATGTTTAGATTTGAATGTGTCATTTCCATCTTTATGCATGTGCAGGGAAAATGACACAATAGGAAAACAGCAGCATTTCCAAACACTTTTCACAAGCTGTGGCGACAAAATATACAGTCACCCTCCAAATTCTTCCCCATCATAATCAAAGGAATGACATGCAGTACCTCACCATCTGCTTCCATGCACACAACTCAGAAAGGAATTTCTTTCCTTTTTCTACAAGAAAGCTCATGTAGAAAAGGAAGGAAGATTATCCATATTAAAAAGGAAGATTAGGCATAATATGGAACAGGTATTTTTCATCAAGTATTGATATGTTGAACTTTAAGTTCCTACAGAGTATGATAAAAAAAATTTTAAAATTAGAATATATTTTAAAAATAGGCATAAAGAATTATATACTTCTTAGATGTTTGATATGCAGACAGATAGTGAGGTTAAGCTTAA